CGGCCACTGTGGTTGAGGAGTCTAGACCACCATCTAGATAAGTACCTGTCAGCCCTCGCAATAATTGGCGCAAAGGCAGAGAGATTGAGCTTCTCATTAGAGAGTGGGAGACCAAGGTACGTCTGGGGGAAATCACCCTGTGCACAGCCAAGGACGCCCACAAATTGGGTAGCAACATCTTGAGGGACATGCATCGGCACTAACATGCTTTTGTTGTAGTTGATGTTGAGACCTATAGCTTTGGAGAAGCTCATTAGGAGTTCTTTGAGACGCTCCACAGCTTGTACATCTGCTCGGGCCACAATGAGCATGTCATCAGCATATTGGAGAATTGTGCATGGTCGATCAGATGCAAGTGGGTGGCGCAAAAGTGTGTCAGTGGAGAGTAGCTGTTGTAGCAGGTCGTCCACAAGGATGAACAAGTACAGTGATAACGGATCGCCTTGTCACAGCCCCTTGCGAAAGGAGATCCAACGCCCAGGCACACCGTTGAGTAGAATTGCTGATTTGGATGTTTCCTGAAGATTCTTTATCCAGTCACACCATTGTGCGGGGAACCCTCTCACTTTTAGAATGGTGAGCAAGATCTCCCAACACACGCTGTCAAAGGCCTTAACAAAGTCCAGCTTCAGTACAATGGTCGGTGCTTTGCGTTTATGGCAGCATTGGACAAGCTCTGTAGCATACACAAAGTTTTCTGAGATAGAGCGCCCCTTGATAAATCCTGTTTGATCAACATCCACTAGTTTTGAGATTTGAAGTTGCAGTCTAGAGGTGAGAATCTTGCCTACAATTTTGATTGGACAACCCTGTAGGGAAATGGGACGGAAGGCACCAGGTGTGACTGCATCTGAGGTCTTGAGTAGCAGTACCACATAAGCGCGATTTGTGCGTTCTAAGTCAGCAACACCATCGTAGAAGGCATCAAGGAATTCCATCACATAAGGCATCACTAAATTCTAGGCTGAGCGATAGAACCCTGGGTCAAAGCCATCAGGACCAGGGGCACTGATGGGGTTCATGGCTCTGATTGCAGCACGTGCCTCTGAGACAGTGATAATCAGAGGCAATGAATCCACTCGAGGAAGGTCTCTGTAGATTCCATGAACATCGAAGTCCCAAGATGTTGCTGCAGGACTTCCAAGCAATGAGGTGAAATGGTTGCTCAATATTTGCTCTTTGTCTACATGACTAGTGAAGCGTACCCCTGCACTTCTAGAGCTTTAATATGGTTCTTGCGTAGCCGCTGCGAGGCATGTGCATGGTGGAATCTTGTGTTTTCATCACCTTCTTTCACAACTCTGAATTTTCCCCTCTGCTTCCAATATGCAGCCCGAGCCTTGAGAAGCTGGAGAAGCTTTTCTCGACACAGAGACCTAAGAGTAGCTTCACCTGAACATAGACGACAATGCTCTTCGAGCAGATCAAGCAGACGAATGATAAATTTGCAGTTGTTAATAAGGAGGGGTGTGTGTTTGTGTTTTGACCATTTCTTGGCGACACGGCGAGTGTCCTTCAACCTAGCTGCAAGCACGCCCACCGGACCACCTGCATTGTTAGTAACAGCATGCCAAACCGGTTCAATAGCAGGGAGGAAAGAGGGGTCATGCAGCCAAGCATTCTCGAAGCGGAAGCGACGAGTTTTGGGAATAGAGGTGTCAATTGTGATGAGGAGTGGAGTGTGATCAGAGGTGGCGTGAGGGAGTGAAGTGAGAGTGGTGTTTGGCACAACAGAGTCTAGGTGCGAGTTAAAAAAGACTCGATCAAGGCGAGCAAGAGTGGGGATTTCCCGCTTGTTCGATCAGGTGAACAGTCTGTCAAGAAGAGGCAGCTCCACAAGAGAAAGGTCGTGGATGGCCAAGTTGAAGATTTCTGCAATCTCTCTGAGTTCGTCAAGGAATTCAGGAGTTTGTTGGTGATCAGAGGGAGGAGATGTGAAAACATATACGTAGTCATTAGTGAAGCAAGGAAGGATGATTAGTCTCTAACTTTCAAAGATCAAAGGGCCGGCATATATGCATGATGCATCGTATAGTTCATTCATAGCTAGTCGGTTCCAGAGTCAGATGAGAAGACCGAGCTGACCTGAAACAAGAAGAGAGCTTCGTCCTCTTCTTTCTCCCAAGGAAACAAACAAAAAAAAAGGAAGATTCGCAGAGCCTTGTTGTTGCCTCCTGCAACTGCAACCTGTCACCTGTGCTCGTGGCGCGTCTGATCGACCGTACGTGCACACTACTCACCCGCGCGCCATTTTGCAATGCAAAATGCAGATGCTCCCAACTTTATAATTTATTCCCGCTATGTGTGCTTCTTTATTTGTTTTTCACCGCGCGTGCCCTGCGCGCATGCGTGTTAATTTCTTGGATCCAGTATTTTCAATTCTTGGATCAAATATATACACAGTAGTATACATTTGATGAGCTAGCTGCAAGAAGATACTATATATTATTTATAACTAAATTATACGAGGTAACACGTAGATGGAGTACGTGCCAAAGGCTAACATGTGTGCCATACCCGGCCTCAACGTGGTACCAACGTAGTCAAGACCTGTCCGGGATACGGTGATCCACCATGCATGGCAATGGCATTGCCATGACGAGGCGCGGAGCATTCTAGTGGACATGTATAGCACCTTGTGAGTTGTGACAAGTTCAGCAACCTAGAGATAACATTTTCAAAAGACTTAGAGAACGAGTGTTCAAATTTTGAATAGATAAAAAAAAAATCTTGATTGCTTTAACCTTATTTTTGTTGACGTGTATTGTATATATAATTGATTGATGATTATTGATTATATTCTTGAATACCACTGATTAGCAAATATAATGGGTATTCAATGAATATCCTCAAATACCCCCACTTGACAAGTTCCAAGAACTGATAGTGATTTTTTTTTTGAAGAGAACTGATAATGAAATTTTGAGAGTTCATTCATGGACCTAGCTAGAAGAAACGAAATCCTGAAACAATTTCGGAGCCCACGTTTTATTTTACTCATGACGAGGTACACATTAGCCTGTTTGGTTGCCTGTATGTGGGCTGGCCAGACTCCCTGGATGCAGCAGCGCAACATTTGGTTGCTCGTATGCCAACCAGGCTCCGCTGATACAAAAGCAACCAGCGAGCCTGACTCCCAAGAAACGAGAATGAAATCTGTTTCGCCTCATGGGATGTAAGATAATAGCAAGGTATATTAATATATTTCGATGAAAATTAAGGTTTAATATGGTAAAAATATGTGATATGCAACCGATTCAAGCAAAATAAATATTATCATGGTACTTTTTTTTTCATTTCAGTTCAATGTAACATATGTCAATGCTGACAACCAAACGCACTCTGCTCAGCCTGGCATCCTGGATTCAATGAACGGTAATGCTAGGTATAGGGCGTCCATCCGCCCAGACGGTGCTGATGGTGGACCGCGATACAGCCCAACGACCGCTCATCCACTCGCCCTCACCCCTAACCGCGTTCTATAAAAAAGAAAAAAACCAACTTATCCCCTTCCACTCCCTCCTCTCCACCACCCCGTCCTGAACGTGGATGCCACTCTGCCTCGCTGCTGCCGCGCGCCCCATCCGGCGCTGCTCGCTTGCCCCCGTCGCGAGCGTGCGCTTCCCTCCCCCTCTCATCGCGCGCTCTAGTGCTAGTGGTGTCCGCTCCGCCCGTCGCGCGTGCCGCCCGCCCGGCCGAGCCAAGATCGATACTGGTGGCGCTGGAGCTAGTGCGCCCGCCCGGCCGAGCCAAGACCTCTGTTGGTGGTGGTTGTGCTCGCGCGCCGCCGCTCGCTGCCGGCTCAGACCCCGACGGCTGGAATCGACCGGCCCGGACCTTCCTCTCCCCTATGTTGCATATGTATGTTTTAATTGTTTTATATGTTTCATATGTACGTTGTAATTGTTCTATTTTGATGTTACCAAAGTAGATCGGGGGATGTTGCACATATTGCAAGTGTTTCAGATGCATGTTGTAAGCGTTTGTTCAAAATGTTTTATCTATTTCCAGACGTATGTTGCAAACGTTTTTTATCTGGATGTTGCATATGTTTCACACATATGTTGCAACAGTGTTTACCAAAATATTTCAACGGTTTCAGTCTTATGTTGCAACAAGTGGTTTCATGTTGCAAGTTGCAAGTGTTATTTTTTGGATGTTTCATGTGTTCCACACACATGTTGCAAGTGCATGTTCTAAGTGCTTCATCTGTTTTTAGATGTACGTTGTATTCGATTTTTTTCATGTTGCAAGTGTTTTATGTTGTTCCGTTGTGGGTGAGCGGGGGGTGGGGGTAGGATGCAGACGGGGGCGCTGGGGGCAGGCGGACGGGTGCTCCAGTCGGGGCACGCCGGGTCCCGGCTCTCGAGTGCCACCTGCGTAGAGAGAGAGGAGCGAGTATGGGGAATGACGGCGGGCGTAGATATGGGGGCGGAGTGCGTGCATGGGGAGGCTCAAATATCCGGACGAGGGTAGAGCGATGGCGGACTGGGGCGGGCTGCGCGGACATTTGAATGCATGCGTCCGTTCAGACGTTGGGGTGCTAGCCACGCCGTTAAGTGAACCAAACAAAGGCAGCTTACATCCCTCTAGCCTTGTTCCTAGATACGAGCAAGGCTCTCCCGTGGACGTGGACAGGCAACCAAACACGCTAAGAGAGTATAGACAGGACAGTAAAAGCCTAACCGAAGCCCCATCCATACGAATTCAAAAACCCAAAGCGACCCTAGTTCGTAGGAAGTTTCCATAACCGAACTCAACGAACTCGCGTCCAATTCCATTCAAAACACGCGAGCATCCATCCAGCAACCAGCATCGAGTCCGTTCCCGTTCCCGTTCCCTACTCCTACTCCTACTCCTAGTCGTCGTCCTACCTACCTACCGTGGACCAACAGCGTGCCGCATAAATAGTAGTACAGCTGATGACAAGAGAAGCCAGCAGGCGGCGCTGACTCAGCCCAGCCCGCGTTTTCTTCATCGTCAGGGGCCAATCGCCAGTCATGCAGCCGCCGCCGTCGCCTTCGCCCTCGCCGCGCCGCCGCGCCACCACCAGGGCCCTACTGCGCCTGCTCTTCCTCGTCGCCCTCTCCCTCGCCGCGCTCCTCGCCTTCGTCACCTCCACCCCGTCCTCCGCTTCCTCCTCGCCCGCGCGCCGCGCCCTGCAGCTCGTGCCGTCGCACCGCCGCCAGCCACTAACCACACTCCGCGCCGTCCGGCCGAGGGACGAGGACGAGGCCACGCCCACCTCTCCCGTGGCCCCACGAGCGGTGGGGCAGGACCACCACAACTCGGACTCGTCGGACCTCGACGCCGTGCTGCTCCCGGACTGGGAGGTCCTCGTTCTGCTCCGCCCCGACGACGACGACGCGCCCTCCGGCAACGCCACGTGCGCGTTCCCTGGCGGGGCCAGGTCCCCGGCGCGACCGCTCGGGAGGATGCCCGCGTCCGGCCGCCGAGCCTACACCTGCGCCATGCCCAGGCCGGAGCGCCGCCACAGCAGGCCCTTCCGCGCGCCACGCCTCGTTGTCGCCACGCTGTCGTCCTCGGCGGCGGATGGCGAGGACGCCGCGCCAGCGGCGGCGGCAGCGCGGTCGTTGACGCCGGAGATGATGCGGTGGAGCGGCCGCCTCGTGTACGACTCCGCCGCGATCGACGGCGGCGGCACCGTCCTCGTGTTCGCCAAGGGAGTCAACCCGCGCCAGGGAGTCAACCGCGACGCCGCGGATATCCGGTGCATCTATTACCGCCGCAGCACTGACGCTGAAAACGGAGACAGAGACGTCGTCGCCTCCCTCCCGGCCACCACCTCGGCGCAGCAGGTCTTCCAGTGCCCGGCGCCCCCGCCGAGCACCGCCACGGCCGCCGAGGCGCAGCTCCGCGTCACACTCGCCGTCGCTGGCGAGGACCCCATCCCCTCGGTGGCGACCTACATCCCTCCTCCAACACGAGACACGACGACGACGACGACGACAACGAAGAAGAAGCTCATCTGCGCCTGCACCATGGTCCGTGACGTGGCCAAGTTCCTCCGTGAGTGGGTGGTCTACCACGCGGCGGTGGGCGTCGACCGCTTCTACCTCTACGACAACGGGAGTGGGGATGACCTGGAGGGCCAGGTGCACCAGCTCAACGCGGAGGGCTTCCACGTATCCACACACGCGTGGCCCTGGCCCAAGACGCAGGAGGCCGGGTTCTCCTACGCGGCCGCGGCGCACCTAGATTCGTGCGAGTGGATGGCGTTCGTCGACGTCGACGAGTTCATCTTCTCCCCGGACTGGGACGGGTCGGGCAAGCCGACCAAATCCATGCTCCGGTCCGTCGTCACCGCTGTCGAGCCCGATGTCGGCCAGGTCACGCTAGGGTGCAAGGATTTCGGGCCCTCAGGGAAAACCAAGCACCCAAAAGAGGGAGTCACCCAAGGGTACACTTTGTCGGAGGCGAGCTGAGGAGCGGCACAAGTCGCTCGTCGGGCTCGACTCGGGCTCATCATTGATGAACTCCGCCCACCATTTCGAGCTTCGCCTGAGTTCAAGTGGGAGCGATCGAGGGATGCGAGGGTGAACCACTACAAGTACCAAGCTTGGGACGAGTTCAAGGTGAAGTTCCGGCGCCGCGTGTCCACCTACGTGGCGGACTGGACCGACCAGGTCAACCATGGGTCCAAGGACCGCACACCCGGCCTAGGGTTCGAGGCGGTCGAACCGGCCAGGTGGCCACACAAGTTCTGCGAGGTGGAGGACACCCTGCTCCGGGACGTGACGCGGAGGTGGTTTGGTGTTGGATTCACCAACAAGCTTGCTCACCGGCCAGTTGGAGGGATAACTCATAGCAGCTCATAGTATTAGTTTTGGTATATACTCTTATTCATTGGACACGGAAACATACAGGTATATACAGAATAGATTAGGGGGAGAATTCATTTTGATTCTTTCAACAGACAAGGTTCGTTAATCATTTTTTTATGTGATTTAACAAAGGTGTACAAATATGGTTAGGAGGAGGTGTAACCTACATGTGATTATCTATATGCCTTTCTTGTTGCAGCGGATTGGCACTGGCAAGAAATGTGTACAAAAAGCAAACTGAGTCGTCGTTGCTTACCTTCAATTCTTTGGCCTTGTTTAGATTGAAAAAAATTTCAACCCGATGAATAGTAGCATTTTCGTCTTATTTGGTAAATATTGTCCAATCGTGGATCAACTAAGCTCAAAAGATTCATCTCGTGATTTCCAACTAAACTGTGCAATTAGTTATTTTTTTTACCTGCATTTAATGCTCCATGCAAACGGCTAAAAATTGATGTGATGGAGAGAGAGTGAAAAAACTTGGAATTTTGAGGGTATTTAAACAAGGCCTTTATTTGTATTCTAATATAATATATAATCATTCATGCATCATACAGTATGCTTCCATGTGATTGGCAGGTGGAATCAGCCTCATGTGATGTTGGCATCAGCAAATATGCTAACGTGTATGTGATGATAACTTGTCCTTGTCTTAAGAAAAAAAAACTAGATAGTTTTAATCAAGCAAAGTTACATTCTGCAACTCCAAAGGCCCCCAGATGTACCTTTCTATTCCAACTTCACAGGGCCCGCTGCAAGAGAACACACATTCTTCAGTTAAAGGATCAGAGTCCTTCGGTTAAAGGATCAGAGTCTTTTCGTGTGTGCCATTATAAAAATTTAAAATTCTATGCGTACCATTAAAAAATTTGAGCTGTTACAAGTGTCAACTTTTTTTTTTTGCCCTCGTCCTCCCAACCCTATCCTCTCCACGTCCTCCACCGCTTGCTCCGACTGTCTAGCGCCACCTCGCCGCCTTCCGCTGCTTCGGGGCCGAGCTCGCCTGCGCCGCCCGCAGTGGCCGGGCCGGAGATAGCGTGCGCGACGTTTGCGGTGGCCGAGGCGTGTCCGGCCCGGAGCTCGCCCACGCGTCATCGGCGCTAGCGTCGAAGCAGCAGCCAAGATGGTCCGCGGTGGGCATCGTGGTCCGCCTGAGGCTGCCGCGCGCATGGACGCCGGAGGAAGACACGTGCCTGGCCAAGGAGAACGGCTTCGGGAACTGACGACGGGGAGCTGCGACGCCTGGTGGCGTGCCTCATGGAGCAGCGATGGAAGGAGATCCGCAAGAGGCCAGCGGCCAAGAAAAGCAGCGCACCGCCCGCGCTGGATCAAGATGCTACAGCAGGATCTGGTCCTCCACGGGTGCGTCGTCGCCTGATCTAGCGTCGTCGGATCCACCTCAAGCTTGCCGGCGGCCTCTCGTCTAAAGTTCTCCGTGCCCCGCGATTAGCACTTCCAAATATTTTAGTAGGTTCTTTTTTGCCGGAAAAGGAAGAATGAGCCAGCAGAGCCATCTGTAGTGAGGTTTCAACGTGTCATAATTCTCCTACAGATGATCTTTGTGTCATGTTCAGAACTTGAGACGGATCCCTCTAAGGCCAATCCGTTTCATACACATTAAATAGCATGCCACCTAAAAAATTTTTTATAACGGCTCGTTCGCTGGTCTGAAACTTAGCTGAAACTAGCTAAAAAATACTGTTCTTGCTGAATTGTTGCGAGAGAAAAACACTATTCCGACTAAAAAAACAAGCCGAACATATCAAATATGGGGTAAGCCGAACAGGGCCAACGTGGCAAAGGAATGAAGAAGAGACAAGAGAGAAGGAACCAGTTTCATCTGGATGAAACCTTATGTGCACGGTTTCCAACTCTTGACGAATCTTACAGCCTGTTCGCTGGTTAGTTTCTGGGCTGATAAGCCCAGCTGGTATTGGTTTGTTGTGAGAGAAAAACACTGTTGGCTGTCTAATAAGCCCTGACTGAAAGCAACAAGCGAACAGATTGTTAGAATTAAATGCTAAAAGAGTCTATCTCTATCTCCATCTCTATCTCTACAACTAAAAAACATGAAAAGCAATCGTTCAACCGACAGACCCATCTCTCCCCATAAAATGTTTACCCAGCGGCAAACCATCCCACCCCGAAAAAAATCTCCCACCCGTGGCATCCCTCGTCCCCTCCCCGAAAAAACTCGTGGCATCCCTCCTGGAAAAAAAGAAGGGTTAATTGAATTTGTGCCATTATAATTCTTCCGTTTTTGAAGCACACCATTATAACTCACGAAACTATACCAGTGCCATTATAATTGTTTCCTACTTTGAAATACGCCATTATGTACACCCGAAGACGTATTGGGCCCACTTTCAGGCATCTTAAGGCTAACGTATTTTCATATGGACGCTTTTGCCCCTGCTAGTCTTTCTCTATCCACTCTATGATGTATCGGACCCACTTGTCATCCCTCTCGCCCCACCCGTCAGATCCATCATCCTCCTCGCTCTTCTTCGCTCTCGTGCACAAGCAAGTTGTAGATGCTCGGAGTTGAGGAAGAATGAGGCGCTACTCCGCGTGCGGCCGCGCTCGTCCCTCCCGTGGTGTCCCTCCGCGCGCGGCGCTCCCTGGCGCTCCTCCTCCCGTGGTCGCGCCACCAACCGTGCTCGTCCCTCTCGCCAGCAGCCCAGACACCGACGATGACGGCGGGCTCCGACAGCGCGCGTAGGTCGTCCTCGCTCGGCGGCAACCTCGCCCACGCGGGCAGACACCTCGGCCTCTGTCCACAGCACGGAGCCGATGTCGACCTCGGTGCTCACCATGATATGGAATCTTGATATTGTACTTCTTCTCTAGCTCATTCTTCATAGCCTTTGGATCCTTCTCAGGATTATCCTTCAGAAGTGGTATAACTGTTGGCATTTCTAACATCACTCTTTGCTAGGTTGTCATCCCCAGCATGATGCCAAAAATGTTTGTTGATAATTATAAGACACTTATGAGAATGATGCAACTATGCATATAGGGATCTGCAAGCGCACAAATAATTTACCATTGTAGCATTTTACCCGGGAGTATTTCTAGGTATTGTTATTTATATTTTTACCATAGGAAAGGCCTGGCGTTAGGAATATGGCAACTTATACTTATGATAGAGAGATAAACCATGATTAATCAATCTACTCATAACAGGGATAAGTCACGAGATAAAGAAATGATAAATGATAAGTGACAAGTCATAAATAATATGAATCACTCAGAGTACTCCTTTCTATAGCATTAGCATGACTAGGTAGAACTTAGAAGAATATTCCTATGTCATTCTTAATTACAAGTCAAAGCATACGATGATTAGTGTAATTATACTTAGTAATCATGGCTACGATCAACTTCATATCTACACATAAGGGATATTACTAAGAAAGATTAAGAACAGAGATTGTTTTCCTTCGCAACCAGATCATACTTATCCTATATTCGGGGAGTGGACTACAAAGGACTCAATGAGACTGTCACATCCACGATCTACCACATGGCCCGGAATATAGGGTGCATCCGTAGACAAACAACGTATAAGCACCACGCTTACACAATGTCGACCACTCACCCCAGGTACCTTAGAGCAAGTGCTATACAAACTTATGCTTGAATATAATGATAATCTAGCTATACTAGGCATATAATTAAAGTAGACGATGAACATAATAACAAAGAACATAAATAATATTAAGAACAATGTCGAATCAATTGTAGCAAACATAATGTAAGATGCAAGAGAGGATACAGAAGGCTTTATCAAGCCGCGCTCTTGACACAATTAGGAATCCAAGCGAAGCTTGCCTCCTTATATTCCTATCTTAGCTAGCTATGCCCTAGAATATGGTGGAGCTCTGAGGATGATCAGGGTTTCTGACTTCTCAAATGACTTGATGCCTCAGGGGGGTAGGGGCTTGCTTATATAGGCCGGAGCATCAATTCTGGACCATCGGATCAAACCGACCTTAATCAACGATGGAGATGAAAACCCTAAGGTGGTAGAGAACCGACGTAACGAAGCGGAGGCTGATGGGTGGGGTCCCAAGCCGGTCGGCCTACAGGTGGAGCCGGTCGGCCCCACTTGTCGACCTCTCCCTCTCTGCTTTGGTGTGGTGCCCTCTGGTGTCTTCTAGATCCTTCCTATGTTGGTGCCGATGCGGAATATACAATTAATCCTGACGAGTGGGTCCTCTCTTGACGGTTTTCTGAATAAATCTTGCAGAAACACAGATTCACCAAAACCTATGAAAATTATTAGTTTCAACCCCTAAGTCTATGTTGGTTATTGCTTTTATGCACTTATTCAAGTTTCATTGAGGGTTTATAATAGTTGTTAACTACCGTCCACAATAGCCCTCTCAACAATCCATGCCTGGGATGCCATCTTTCCAAGAACTCTACTTCTTGAAGCACACTTGTGGGTAGCCTTATTGATCTGGATCTGCACACACACAGAATAGGACATGAACAAATGTCAAAAATAGTTAAGATAAGGACATATACAACATGCAAATAACAAGAAAAAAGGTTACATCAATTGGACAAAAAAGTGTTAGTATTGGTACCCTGAC